TGTACACCAGGGAGTTAGGGTTTAATTGAAAAGTACCACCATTTAAGAAATGGTCCTACCACTTTTTGAGGGGTGGGGGTTTGAAGCTTCTGTAACGGATGGGAGAAATTGGACAGACCTTTTTTTTTTCTTTTTAAAGTTCTGTATTGCCCCTCTCCTCAAACCCACAACCAGAATTCAGCACTGCATTTAAATGCAGTTTATTCCAGTACATCTACGGGGGAAGAGGTTGCAGTGAAAATGATTGATCCGTACAATTCCTTGCATTTTTGTTTTTCAGAATCCTGGTCTTGGATGCGGGTGAGATTGCAGAGTTTGACACGCCCAGCGAGTTGCTGAGGCGAGGAGGCATCTTCCAATGCATGGCGAGGGATGCAGGACTGATCTGAGAAGGGAAAATGAAGGGTATCACTTTGGGACAGCACCCCCATGGCCCCATTATCATGGAGCTGCTAAGCAGGAAATATTGCGCATAGAATATCTCAGCTAAGCTGGGAACCGGTCATGTGCCATATACTTTCCACAACATTTTTGGCAGGTTACCTGCCCTTGCTAGGCAAATACTTTTCCATGCTTAACACTTACGTGGAAATTATCCTTATTTATAATAACACAGACAGTGTCCCTATTCAACAACGTGCAACTTGACCATGTACTTACACTTGATAATGCCTGCAGAAAAGTAATAATGCCCACTGCATGTTCAAATCATGGGGTGGTACCTGGATGCCAAAAAGTTTAATTGAGTTTTGATTGGCCAAGAGTTCGTGTACACATGGCTCACCACATGTGTGCCAAGTCCATATAAGGACATCCTTTGGACAACTTTCACAAAGAATAGACTCTAAATCGGACATGGGTGTTTGGGATGAAAGTAAAATTCTAGATCTAAATCGTTGGAAATCCATCATGTATTTACTTCTTTTGACTAAAAATGTATTTATGAATGGGAATGTAAATATGTGCTTGGCTAGTCTTGAATGTATTTATTCCCTTAAAAATTGCCGTTGCCTTTGTCATTTCTCCATTTGAAGATGGTGAATGTGAAATCTTGGAAGTCTAGAATATCCTCATAAACTTATTTGTACTTTGAACTTAAACAGCATTGTACTCTATAAATAGCCCTGATTCACTAAGAAGCTTTCAGTTGTGTTCCCTAATCTGTTAAACATATTGTAAACTGCTGATTGGAATGATACCAGACTGTTTTATGATTAACATGCATTCCAAGCCTCTCCTTCACCATTTGTCACAAACTTGCGCAAAACACGAAGGTACGTTTAATCCCAAATTTTGAAAGTATTCCTCAGAGTAGATATGCTGTAATTCATCATGCTTTCATATCTGCTCTCAAATTCCAAAAATTCACATCAGTTTCAATGTTAAGGCAGCTGACTTATGAATAAAATCTGTAATAAGCCACATTATTAAAGGCACCAAGAAATGAATTTTTCTTAGAATCACTTTTTGTGTATCTCTGTACTGTTCTTCCATCTATGAAGACTGTTTGACATCTTTTTTGAGTTACGTGAACTGGAGGGTGCACTTTTTTCCCAACATTAAATATGAGCAAAGCTGTGGAGGGTATCTTTGTCCAAATTACACAAAAGCTTATGCCTTTTGCCTTGCCTTTGAAGTATTTTTTTATATTTTCCAGTGGAATGTGTGAACCATATTTCTATCTGTATTCTGAAACAAATCAAGATTGCCAATTACGGAAGACGGCTGTTGTCAAAGTTCAAATTGTCAAATGCTGATGTGGTCAGACTTAGTTGGAAAATATTCAGAGTGGAAAGGTGATATTTTACTAGACATAAATTGTAAGACTTTTTGGGGGGGAATCCAGCCATTGTGAGCAGTGAAATATTAGTTTTTGCGTAAATTTCATCCATTTGTAAATAAGGTTTTTTCAGTCTCTTTAACTGAGGATTGCATGTATTTATGAGATCCCAGTGTTGTTAGTTTTGTTTGATATTTGCTTGACAGTCAGTGCAAATTTATATTAAGCAGAAACTTAATAGTATTTTAAAAGTTTCAAACTTACAACCCCAAGTATTTTCAATGCCATGTTACGTGCCTAATACATAACTGTTTATGTTTGACAAGCAGTGGTTATTTTACTCAATGCGTCCGTACTTCTATGCTCAAATTGCGTTGACATGTTTTCTGTGATGGTTAAATTCTGAGCATCCCAAACAGAACTTACAATAAAATCTAATTTAAAAGATTGAATAAGTTTTGCATCTATAATCAGACATGTGCGACCACTATTAAATTCACACTGTAGTATTATTCAAATCAGTCTGTGTGTGTGAATAATGAGGATATAGATATTGAAGATAGAATTTAGTGAAGGAATTTTCATTCAAAAATAAAGTTTTTGTTTCCTAATTCATTCGCAGAGAGAAATCCACTTTATGATATTTCAAGCAGACCGCAGGCATGGCAATTTTTAAACTTTGTCTCAAAGACGAACGTGTATGTTATTTACTTATGTCTCACCAGCAGTGAAATGGCTTACTCAAAGATGGTGTCTCGATTAATGTATAATGGTATTTGCTGCTCTTTTTCTGTATTGTCGTCATTCAATTCGACCATGAAAACCTGCTGTACATGAGTAGATGATTCATTTTGGTTCTGCTGAGTAGGTGATCCATTTAAGTTCTGCTGAGTAA